AGCCCTAAATCTTTGTTTTGGACTGCACGTTTCAAAATTTACTTCAATGTACACTGGGCTGTGGTCCCAGCTCTCTAATGGCCCTTTCACCAGTGTTTTCCCTTTTGTACTATCTGGTCTCCACTCAGGTGGGATCCTGCATATTTAGTTAGATATCCATGTGATTTGTAAGTTGTTTATCTAATCTCAGCTAACACTCAACAGTAAAACAACTAACTTTTTAGCACTTTTTAAAATGTTTGAAATGTTTAAGTGCTACAGTACTTTCATCAAACTGAATGTGAAGACTGAAACAAAAAAAACATTCAGATTGAAAATGTAGCACCCAGTAAGAAAGCTGTTAAAATGAAAGGGACTGTGTTATTTAGCTTAGTCATATACTGTATGTATATACTGTAAACCTTGGTGTTGCCTTTGATCCACCAAACAAAACTGATTCAAAGATTGTATCATGTGTAGGGTGATCAAATAATAAAAAAGCTAAATAATTGATGAGACCAGTTGCATTATTTATAAATATTCTGGAAAGGATGGAGAAACATCATTTGAGAACTTATTGAAGCAAATAAAAGGAATAGCACAATTAGTGTGGGTTCCACTGTTCATATCACTCACAGAATTCTGACAACAAACTGACAGTATCCTTAAACACTAAAAAGTCTTCAAACCCTACATTTCATCAGAGATGAACAACCCAAGGCCAGGGGGAAATTTAGCAGGGACGCAGGGGTTACAAACTACTACAAACCTACTCCTTTCGAGAAACACCCTGGTATCTTTAATGACCACAGAGAGTCAGGACCTCTGTTTTACGTCTCATCCGACGCCTTTTTACAGTATAGTGTCCCCTTCACAGGGTGACCACCCCCATCTGACCCCCCACTAATACCTCTTCCAGCAGCAACCTTAGTTTTTCCCAGAAGGTCTCTCTCCCATCCAGGTACTGACCAGGCTCACACCTGCTGAGCTTCACTGTGTTGCCAGTTCATATTTTTCTGGTTTCTGAAGCATCAGTCACAACAGAAATACTTTACCCTGACTCTTGCTCCTGTTGCTTTTAACTTCTTCTGTTTCAAGATGTGCCATCACATCAGAGATTATTATTTTGGTGTTAGCACAGTAAACCTTCTCATCGCATAATTTTTAAATCAGTGTCTATTGACCCAAAAGCGCTGATTGTTTTTTACTAGATGGTAGGCACAAGTACTTTCAGCAGTGGTTCTGTTAAGATCCCTCTCTCCAGGTTCTGGCTTACAGAAGAACTGATTATCGCCACTGCTTTTCAATTGAAGGCACAACCTGTCCTTTTTTGTTTGTAATTGATTCTTAATATAAGACTTGTAGCCTTGAACTGATTCTTAATATCAGACTTGGTGCCCACAATGTGTTGATTTATAAAACCTTCACACATCACAGTTGTTTTCCTATCTGACTCAGAAATAGAAATTCCCTTTGTAACACACTGTTAAAAGTGCATTCATTATTAAGTGTTTTACTTTTTTTTTGCTGTTCAACAGTTGGGATCTAATTCATATGCTGGAGTTATCCTGGCCTACAAGTTTCTTAATTAAAATTCACCATATTGCATAAAATTGTCAAATAATTTTGTTCAACAAAAAGCCATGACTTTGTACAGTATTTATGTTTGTCAATTGCTTTACATGTGTCAATTTCCTGAGTACCCAAATGTTTTTTTATTATACATTGCCAGTTACACAAGATAAAGTAACAGTATGCATATTCCTGATTAGCAGTCTTAAACAAAGGAGGAGACTACGGGGGCTCTTTAAAAATTTTGAGAAAACTGCTGAGATACAAAACTCAAGCGTTTCCAATGAGATCAGTCAACCATGGCTGTAACCAAACATTAATATACTGTATCCTGTACGAGCTGCTGTCCACTGGATGAGATGAGATCTGAAGACTCCATCTATACTTGAATATTTAATAAATGCAGAGTGTAAGGAAATAGAAAAATTTATATATCCAAGAAAAGTCTGTATTCATTTAAACTTTTATATTCTATAAATGGTCTCTAGATTCTGTTTGAAGTGGTGACATCTTCTGTGACATGCCAGATTCAGTTACGGGTTGCTGAATCTTTCTGTTGCCTGTATATTAACCTTTTATGGCCTGTCCCATAAAAATTCCCACCAGTATAAAAAGTCTATAAACTCTGAATCTGAGCTTCTGGCTTGGCAGGACTACAAAATATGTCTTCCAAAAGAGCCAGATGTGATATGTGTGCTTGTAAAACAATTTAATCTAGGCTACATTCAAGGTGACCACTCTGTTTCAATTTGCCTGAATGAAAAAAAAAAACATGCTTTTTTTAGTATCAACAAACATAAAAAAAATATTTATTGAACATGAGTCATTGTAGCTGAATCATTATTCTATGTAAGTATCTCATTTGTTATTCTTGGGAAACGTATAAAATCAATATGTTTTGTAAATAAAACACACACATTAAGAGGGAACTTTTAGGCAGGTCATATTCTAAAGAGGATGTTAGCCACAACACCAATATTTTTATGCACAGTGTCATGGACTCTTTAATGAACACGTCACATAAGCAAGAAATCTTCACAGAACAGTACCCTCGGTCACCGTGCCGGGCAATGGATGGGACATTCTGGCACAGAGAGAAGAGCGCCACCTTCTGGTCCACAAACACATACCGCTTATAGCAGCTACTAGGTTTTCCTTAGAGGTCCTGGCTAGGCCCAGCCCTACATACAGTACAGTAACTTCTGAGATCTGAAGAGATTATGCTACAAGCTGCTAAAGCTTATATACAGTATAATGTAATCTGTTACACTCGTTTGTGTGACCATGAGAAATACCTCCCTAAGGGAGCAACAGTCGAGACTGAACAGATTCTTGTAATTGTGTAACACATACTGTACTTCCAAGCATTGTTACACTGAGCCCATGCAGTAAGTAGCCTGCAGTGCATTGTACTGCTCCATGTTGCAGTTTTAAAAGCAGCGAGCATATACGAATACACACAGTACCCACATGCGTGTGTTTAGTATTCACTTCCTAGTATTCGTGTTTCTCGCGTCGTTTTATCAAAGAAAACAGCAAAGACGGAAACGACAAACAGCAATGCATTTTCGGACGACTGTCCTAAGCACGGACCGTCTCAGTATTCCCCCCACTTGCGAGAGGAAAAGCGCTCTTCGGCTGCTGGTCGCGCCGTCCTTCACTTCCGCACAAGAAGATGAAGAAGCGGCGGCGATGCCCTTCTGGAGCGCAGGACACGGAGACGTCCCCACGCACGGCACGCTCCGTGTTTACACTCCCACGAAAGGAGGAGACTGGCGCACAGCGTCGGTTTGCAAGCCAGGCACGACAGCTGAAAGGGGAGGAGGAGGAGTGGAAGGGGGGAGAGAAAGTGATACAGAGAGGGGCTGTATGGTATAAAGGAGGAAACCGCAGCTTTCAACATTTCCTTCTATAGCGGAATGTTTTCTCGAAGGAGCCATGGAGACGTCAAGAAATCTTCACAGAAAGTTCTGGACCCAAAGAAGGATGTGTTGACCCGACTCAAGCACCTTCGGTCACTGCTAGGTAAGAGGACAGCTCCATCTGGGATCACCCGTCCACAGTCAGCGGTGCATCCCCCCGTGTTTGTCCTCTGTGCTCGTTTGGGGATAACACAAATTGATATAGCCGCTCCTATTTGTCTGTTCACCGAAGAGGATTTTGGTGTTTTGTTACGCTGCTAAACCACGTCTGCATTCGGACTTCTGTTGTGCTGAACGTACTGAATTGTTTAAGCGAGTAAAAAAAAAAACACAACGGAGGTTTTTTTTTTCTGTAATACAATGCCTGCTTTGTACTTCCTTACTGTGCGAATTTCGCGGCTGTTGTTGCCGATTTACCTGAGTCGAGCCGGTGCCGCAGGTTTGACGTTAGGATTAAGCTAACCTTGTCATCCGTGACAGCCGCACCAGCACGCAGCTCATTCAATGGGGAAACTCACTGGATCCCAGTGGTGCCGCAATACAGGAATTCAGTGCAATTCAATTTTCCCCTCACGGCGAGCAAGCCACTAAAACGTCAATTGGCATGTTTAAATGTGATCAAGGTCTTCTCTCTGAATTCACCCACTAGCAGTAACAACGGAAAAATAAGCCACCCTCGTTAAAACGAGAGCAGGCAGGAGCGTTGGGTATTTATTGTGACATTGGTACAGCACTGCCTGTAGGGAAAGTAGTTTCATGATTGCTAAACATTGTCATCCTGAATCTTGCACAAGATTTGTGTTATTTTATTTTGTCGATATTGACTTTTCTTGGGTGCCATTTAGCTTTAAAAATACAAATACATGTATAAAAATGTGCATAACTCTCTATACTACAGAGCGGTGCGCTTCGGGTTAGGAATACATACAGTATATACCTGCCTCGTAAGAGGTCATTTTGCCGACTTTTGTCAGGATGTCTTCGGATACATTTTTAAAAAGCAGAAAATAAAGTTGTTTTTCAGTTGGTTCTCACCGTCCTGCTTTTCTCCTGTATTCTTTTAGGGAGTCTAGCTGGGAGTCTTTTTGATAAGCTCCCACTCTGTTGTCAAAGAGGGGTGGGGGTTGATATCTCGAGTTCCTGAATCTTGAACTTCCTTTGTGGAAGGTAGTTAAATAAACTGCTGTCTGGAGCTCAAAGGTGCCTGTTTAGCAGTTGAATGTCATATTAAGCATGTGCTGTCTGAAAAATTACTGTAAAGTAATGATATACTGTATATGCTACGTCTCATAGCTTTTCCAGGAGGAAATTCTAAGCAATAGCAGTGTTTTAAAATTATGCTGGAGGTGCTTTGATTTGACCTAATTTGTATAGTACAGACAGTACTTCAGACTGTCTGAATAATTGCACTTCACAACACCATTAAAATATGACAACAATGGGCTAGATTTTACTTTATAATAGAAATACATTGTACATTTGCTGTAGTTTCACCTACAAATAGTGCCTGTTACCATTAAATAGTGCACTTTGATTTTGTTTTTTGAAACAAAACATGCAATTATTAGTGAAGCACTTTCCAAACAAACTTTAACTTGTTTATTTATGGATTGAATTATAATGTATGTTCTTTTAAATTTTCTATATAGTGAAACCACCAGGTTTGTGTTTTTCCATGTGATTTGCCACAGTTTGGGAAGCATATTCCTAATTTAACCTCTCTGGTGAAACCTGATCATTGTTTAATTTTCTTGTAGGAGACAGAGCACTGAAGACTGGCAGTTAATTTAATTTTCTTTGATTTTTAGCTTCAGCCCAGACTATTTCTTAATTGCATGAAGTCAGGGGAATGCAGTGAGGTTCAAAATCTGAGGAGGTCAGTCTGTCTGTAGCTATCCACACTAGATTCCTGCTTACTGGGGCTCTTGGTGGTACTGTGACGTACATCGGCCTTAGACATTTTTCACTGCTCAGCTGCTAGCTCCCTGTGTAAATACTACCAGTGTGTTAAGTCAGGGTTGCCAGCTTGGTACTGCTGGCAGACAAACATCCATTATCTTGCGTGTAGGACTCACTAAATTGGCTGTATAGTGGAATGTTATGACTTGAATTGCACTCAAGTGGACAGGAGTTGATACAGTGTATGTAACATCTTCTGTATATGAACCATATTTGCCCCTGTTTTATTTCAGTACAGAATGAAGTACATGCTCAAATGCTAGTATTTTACAATAGGTAACCTTTTCTGTTGTGATATCCTGTAACCTTTCACCCTGATCTGTAGTGCGTCAGTGCGCTTTGGAAGGGAAAGTTTAAAATAGCAGAACATCCTAAATGAAAGTACATTGTAAAACTTACAGAATTCATTGTTAGTACAGTAGTTACAGTAGGTTGCTGTATTTCTTAACACCCCCAAACAGCTATTTATTGTCCGGCACAAAGGAATGTAGGAGAGCTCTATTTTATTTGTGCATGATCCTAAGTGACTCCTTAGCTTTTTTTAATCAGGTAGTATGTTTTGATAACCCCTGACATCTAAACGTTTTCTTCTGCTCATGTGGCATTGAAAGTGATGGCCAGTAATGCAATTATTTCCATGTTCACTGTTTGTCCCCTTCTTTAATGTTGTAAATGGGTATTTCACTTCAGTAAAAAAAAAACTGCAGTTTCATAAACAATAGATTTTCCCCACTTTTAGTTCCCTGTGCAGTGTACAGGAAAGCAGAGTGAGTGATGATGCTTCAGGGAGATTTTGAAGGGTCCTACAGTACGCAAGTAATATTTTAGTCAACTACCTTTAAAATTCATTGGAGCTGATATGGTGTGCAGTGATAAACTGTGCTAACAGATCTGTAATGAGCATTTTATGAAGACCAAAAATATGTAAAGTAGGAAAAGTATGTTTTCTTTCATAGTTGTGTTGCTTTACTGCTTTGTGGCTTATACTCTTCCGCTGACTGGATGGTTCACTACTGTTCACTACAAACTGGGGGGAAAGGAGGAGATTTCATGGAAATTGACAAACTTCTGAGGGATAAAGATAAGGTCCACCCAGGAGACTGTGAGTGTTTCACGCTCAGCAGCGAATCAAGAACACCAGGTCACAATTGGACAGTAAACGGGCATTCATTTAGAAAGGAAAAAAAACAAGTTATTTACTCAGAGTTGTTTGTGTATGGAAAAGGTTTCCGAACCAGGTGGTTGAGAAGCAAACTCTCCCCCTCCTCATGTTGGCACCCTTTCTTGCGTTATGTAGAAAAAATTGACAGGCTTGTGACAAAGGCAATAACAGCAATATAAATTATATGAAGAGATCTCATGTTTTGCTTTCTGATTCAGATTGGAAACTTTAATGTCACGTGACTAGTATACGTGTATTGTGAATGGTTCTAGAGTACCATATGTAAAAGCAGCCCTGAATTTGTTTCGTTAACATAATACAAGTAGGGAACCCTATTGATTTTACTGTCCACCATGGGCATGCACCTTTTTTAAGTTCTGTACCCAATTTGAAATGTACCGAATGAAGTGGCAGGTGATGTATTATGAAGATTTGCAGTTCACAATGTGCTATTCTTTAGAAAATTGTTTAATTTGGCTCTTGTTGGTGTTGAAGAATGATGTTTGCTTTGTGGTTCCATTAAAAGAAAAGTTAGGTGACAAATGTATAAAGAATGAGGTAGCTGTATTAAAATCCTGTTAATTGGTGAAATTTTTGTGCTTTCGGTATATGTGATAACTAAATGCGTTGACTGACATTTTTTAGACGGCATTCAAATAAAGTGCAGTCAAATAAAAAAATACATGCTATAGCAAAGCATCCTTGTTAATAATTACTCTCCAACCAAAAAATGTACAGGACTATGGATGTACACTACAATATGTAACAGAGAGGATTTACTGTAATTAGTGAGTTTGGAGTACTTTTACTCCAGATTGCTTTTCCATTTGAAACAATGACTTCCTATGAGAAAGATATGTCTTGATGGTCTGTAATTAAACACACATTGGAAATGTCCACTTTTTTATGCAAAAATCATGGAAATACAGTGTCAACTACTGATGGAGTTGATGTGAGATGGGAAAATTGAAAACGTTCTGCATGTCTGTTGTGCTTTGCTTGGGAGCGGCTGCAGATTTTGATGTCGTGCGTGGCTGGGCAGGCCTTCGATCTCTGCATAGGCCTCTTTGTCACCTGAATATATCATAGTGACTGAATTGGTTCAGTTGCTCAGGTTTTTTCATTCTTTTCCTTCCCATGCACTCAGGAATAAAAGAAGCGATTCCATGTTAAAATACACCTCCAACTTTAATTTTAGTTAATAAAATAATTTATTTTATTTGCAAAACACTTAAAATGAGGTGGAGCTCAGTTGCATCTACTGTGCCTACTGTTTGAAAGGAGCAAGAACACACAGCTGTAAGGTGTAGTGCAAGCTAATCTAACCTGTCTGGTAAGTCAAAGTCAAAACCTAGTGTAAATAAATATGTATCATGTGATGTACTTAAGCTTCTGTAAAAAACGCCTATAGTAGTTTGTGTGAGCTTCATAAAGCACTCTCCACAGGCAAGTGGTCCATTGCGGGCTTTTGAGACTATTAAATCTGCAGTTGTTAAAACATTGGAACACGTAAAACATTACATTTATCAAAATCCATAAAACACATTTAATTTTGCCTTGGTTGTTAGTTTTGGAGGATATTATTTTAATTCTACTGAACCAAAAGCTGCTGATTTTAAATATTGTAAGCAAGAGAAATCTGTTTTTGTTTTTGAAAACTACACATAGATCATTATAAGATTGATGTCTGAATCAGTGCCTGGAGTAGGTGTTAAATGTTGTAACATCATTGTTGCAGGTTCCTCAGCTTATTTGAATGTAGGCATAGCACTGAGGGTGTTTTAAAACCCATGTCTAGTAATAACACATCTAGACGGTCATCCTAGACTAAGACTTTCCTGGCTCAGTTTTAAAATTTGAATATTTAATGCTGGACATTGTAGATACAGTATGGTTCAGGCTGTTTCAGAATTCTCTGTTGTGCTTTATACAACTGAAAAACCTTTCATAGCCTGCTTTAGTTGGTAATAATCATAGTGACT